AACCACCCTCAAACACCAAACCCTGCTCCCGAAGCACCCCTGGCCCAGGCGCTGGTGCTGGGGCATCCCCTGGCTCTTCGGGAGGGACACGGAGCCTTGGCCGAGCCTGCGCTGGAGCCACTCCGGGGACATTAAAGAGCTAAAAATATCCCGATTCTCATGCAACAGGCTGGCACCGGCTCCTGCCGCCCCGGCAGCACCGGGGGGGGCTCGGTGCTGGCATTGCCCCCTCCAGGGCACGGGGAGAGGGGCTGGGATGGAGCCAACGGGAGCAGTCCGCATCTCCCCGATGCCAGCAGGGGGATGTGCAGGAAAAGAAAACGCCGCTTTTCCAGAGGAAAACGCTCCGGTTCCTCTGGGCTCCAGGAAATGCAACAGGAGAGGCCCAAAATTGCAGCCGCAGCCGGAGCGGGGAGCACCGCGGGCATCCCCCACCGGGGCTACTGGAGCGGCCACCGAGGACCGGGGGTCCCCCGGAGAGTCGCAGCCCCCTCCGCTGCTCCGGGAGAGGCGGGAGAGGGGGCAGGGAGGAGGAGGAGGAGGAGGAGGAGGAGGAGGAGGAGGGAGAGGAGAGAGGAGGAGGTCAGGCAGGGACACGCTGCTGCTCTGCAGCGAGCTCCTGGGGCTCCCGCAGCCTGGCAGGGACACAAGATGGTGCTTGCTTCCCTCGGCCGGGAGCAGCGAGCAGGGAGGCTCCGGCAGCAGCATCCATCCATCTGTCCATCCATCCATCCATCCATCCATCCATCCATCCATCCATCCTTCCTTCCTTCCATCCTTCCTTCCTTCCTTCCATCCTCCATCCATCCCGCCCGCTGCAAGGCTCGGGGATGGACAGACCCCACTCCTCACCTCTCCAGGCATTCATGATCCAGCTGTTCTGGGATCTGGGATATGGGCAGCTTCCTCCCAGCCCCAAAACCTCCGGGCTGCGGCTGCCCGGAGCCCGGCACGGCTGAACCGGAGCTGCCGGAGCTCACTCGGCACCAGCCCCGCTGCCTGCAGCGCCCGAGCCGCCGCCGGAACCGCGGCCGCCGCTGCTGCAGTGAAAATATTTCACCGAGCTGCGAGGGGACCCAGGAGATTTTTAACATCTGGGCCAGCGAGTCACCCGGCGGGAGCTACCGGGGGTCGCCTCACCCGCAGCCGGCAGCGCGGGGGGACCCCGCACCCTGCGGCGTCACCGGCCGGGGGAGCCCGGCCCGAGCGCGGTACCGGGGCACGGCCGCGCCGGCATCACCCCGGCTGCCTTCCAAAAAAACCCGCCTGGATTCCTGCGGGATGAGCCGAGACCGCATCCCGGCAGCGCTGCCGGGTCCCTGGGGGCAGCTGGCGACCACCCAGGGACCCCCGCACCCCGCCGGGGACGGCGATGTCACCCGGAGCGCGGCGGGCACAGCCTGGCACGCTCGCCCGCCGCAGGCGCCCGCTCCAGCCCCTTCCATCTGCCTTTGTTCCCGCCCGGGCGCAGGGAAGGGGGTGGGTTTAAAGCTTTAATTAAAGCTTTTAAAGAGCCATCACAGAGCTGCGAAGCGGCCGGGCGGGCGGAAGAGACAGCCCCGTTCTCTCCGCGCCGTCTCTCTCCATCCCTGCTGGAATATCGCGCCGGGAAGAGCCGGATCCCGGCGCGGCTCGGCTCTCCCCGGCCGCGGCACGGCACTGCTCCCGGCGCACGAACAGGTTGTTTCCCTGAGGATATTCCGCCTGGATTTTGGCTGCATCCCCATGCAGCTCCAGCATCCCGGCACGGCAGGAGCTCAAATCGTGACCGTCTCCAGTCAGGAAAAGCCAGGGACAACCAACAGTCCCCAAAAAAAAGTGACAAATGGGCAGCACTAAAGCCCTCGGCATCAATAATCTGAGAAACCGTTAATGGCAGAGTAAAGGAGATTTTTGACAGGCTGCAGAAAATACAAAATCCACGGGGAAAAAAAGACCTGATCCGGGAAAATTCCTAACATGAGCGTGGCTTAGGATAAAGGAATAAAAAGTAAGGAAGGGCTGGGGCACCCTGGGTGGTTGATCCAGCGTGGAACAACCTCGCTTCCCTGCCAAAAGGAACGGGCTGGCCCCTGGCACGGCACAGCCGGGCAGCTCCATCCCAGGGGTGACAGTGACAGCGACAAGGGCGGCACCACCACGAGCAATTCCCAACCCCCAGGGGAGGCATCCAGCGACTCCAAAGCTGCTCCAAAACACCTCCACGGGGACCCCCGCCACTGAGCTGGGCTGTCCCGAGCCTTCCCAGCCCTTCCCCCCACGGAGCAGCGCCATTCCTGGGGAAAACCCGGCTGCAGTCCCGACCTCCAGCCCAAACCCCACGGATCCCTGCGCGGCACACGCTTGCACACGCGTGTGCACAGCCAGCAGGGACAGCCACATCCCAGCTGCTTCCAGCCGCTCTGGCACAATTCCCTCAGCGTCCAGGACCACGTTTTCCCTCCTTTCCATGATTCCACGTCTCCCTTGTCCCCCTGGCTCCCCCGGCGCGCTGCCACGGCCTCTCCCGGAGCCGGCAGGCTGGCAGCGGTGCCGAGCTGTAATTAATGGTGCCGCTTTGCCAATGCCTGGCACGGCCTCGCGAGCACTGGCAAGCACAGGCCTCTTTATTTATTTGACTTAACTGCTGTTGGTAAAACTCCGCTCCAAAAGCAAGGCCGGGAGACGGCGCAGAGAAATCTCCGCCGGGAGTAGGGATTTGCTCTGCCAGGGAACGGCGTGTGCTGCCTCACTCCCCACCCCGGCCCTGCACAGCTCGGGGGGTCCCTGCAGTCACAGCCCCCCCTCGGTGCTCCCGCGGCCTCTTCCAAGGAGTTTCTCCCACATCCTTGGGGTGTGAGTCCCTCTTTTCCATCAGCTCCGTTCTGGGAGGGCTCCGAAGCGGGGTTCTGATCCCCAGCGCTGGCGGCAGGAGCTGTTCTCATTCCAAAAGGGGATTTTTTTTTTTTGTTTTTGTTTTGTTTTTTGTACCCATCATCTCATCCAGAGGCAGCCCCACCGCGAGACTCCGAGGTGCTCCAGGGGGAGAAGGGGCCTGGCTCCATCCTGCTCTTGGAGGACATCAAGGAGCAGCCAGGAGCAGCGCGGGGGGGACACCACGGCCCTCGTGAGCAGCGAGGAGCTGTAGAGCTTCTGACATTTGGCAACCGAGGCAGGTGGCCCCGAGCCAGCCCCGTCCCCATTAGAGGATGGGCCCGTGGCAGGAAATGAGTTTGTAGGGCCTCAGTCCAAATTTCCCATGGAGGAGCCTTGAGGCGCCACGGCAGCGCGGGGCTGGAGCGGGGCTGGAGCATCACCTTCCTCCAGGAGATGGGGAGTCCATCCTGCAGCCCCATCCCAGCCGAAAATCCCCACGGGACGCGGGGGTTTGGCAGCAATGGGGACGCCCTGGGCGGGTGGAAATCCCATCTCATCCCACAGCGGCCGGCAGGAGCTTGGTGCCAGGGCAGAGCTCTCCAGCAGCGGGAAGAGCCGAGCACCCCCGGTGCCATCTCCGGCATGGCAGGGAGCGACTCCAGGCAGAAAATTCCACTGCCAAAGGTCCTTGGAGGTGTTGAGAAGAACCAGAAGGAGCTGGGAAGGGCTGGCAGCGTGTCCCAGCCGGCGCTGGAGTCCCTCTGCCACGCGGCTGCCAGGTGGAGAGCGAGTGCCCGCTGTGCCCGCTCCGTGTCCGTTTTCTGTCCAGCACAGCCCGAATTTGTAGGATCCTGGCACCAGGGATCAAAGCAGGAGCCGGTGACGAGGCTTGATGGGCAACTGGGCAGGCTCTGTGCTCTGGCACGGCGGGGCTGGCGCTGCCACACAGCCAAATCCACATCCTCTGCCACCGTGCCATCCCCACGGAGCCCCGCGGGGAGCGGCGAGCAGACCCTCCCCGCTGAGGGGCGGCCAGGTGACGGTGACGGTGACAGTGACAACAGCCGCGCCACCCCGCTCCTCCCCACGGAGCCGGGTGCCTCCCCACGACCCCCCCCTCAGCTCAGCAAAGGGGGGACAAATGTGTCCCCAAGCACCGGGAGCAATCCGAGCGCCACGCTCGGAGCCAGCCCCGCGCCACCAGCGCCACGTGCGGCCCGCACGGACCCCCCGGGCACCCCGGGGCCGCCTCCCCGCGTCACCGGCGGCCCCGGCTGCCAGGCGGCGGCCGGCACAGCCAGCAGTGCCGTGACCTAGAAAAGGGAAGGGTTCTTCCCACGCCAGCCCCCGCTGCGCCGCCTGCGGAAAATCCTCCCCGTCCTCAACAAGTGCCCGGCGCGGGCACACGCGTGAGGCGCACCTGGCACCGCTCCGTGCCACCGGCCGGCGGGGAAGGGCTGCGGGTCCCCCCCATCAAAGCCCCGCTCGCCACCCGCCCGCCGCACGTGCCCGCGGTGGCACACGCCGGGTGCCCACGCGTGCCCTCCCGCACGCCCACGGGTGCCGTGGCACGGAGCCCCCCGCAGCCCCCCACGCGGGGGTGGGCTGCGAACACAGCCACCCACCCACGCGGCGAGTCCCCGGGGCCCTGCCCCAGGGGTGACACCGCGGGGTGACCGAGCCCGCCGAGCACCCACGCTCGCCGGGCTGGCACAATCCACACGTGTGCCCGCGGCAGGGATGCCAGCATGGAGCCCTGCACCCACCCGTGGCCTTGCTGTGTGACACACCGCGGTGCCACACGTGTGCCCAGGGACACGCGTGTGCACCTCCGCCGTGGGGCTGTTTTAAAGGCAGGGATCGGCACCCCACGGGAGGAAACGGCGCCTGGCGGGGGGCACGGGCGATCTGAGGGGCACCGGGACCCCCGGGGAACCGAGCGGAGAACCGGCAGAGGGGGGAAGAAGCGGCAAGCGGCGGGGAGGGGGCACCGGCAGGGCGGGAGGAGGCGATCGGCAGCCCCGGGAGAGGAGGGCACCGGCGGCCCCGCGGGAAGCACCGGCAGCTCCGGGCACGCCGCGGCTCTCAGCCAGCCCCGGTGCCGAGCCCTCCGCGCCGCCGCAGCCCCGCGCAACTTCCCGGCAGGGCCGGGGATGCCGCTGCCCGCCCCGAGCACCGGGCACGGGGCACCCGCGGCCGCAACTCCGGTTCCCGCAGCCCCGCCGCCGGGGCAGGAAAGTTGGGGTGGGAGCTGGGGCGACCGGCGAGGGGGGTCCCCGGTGGAACCGGGGCTCTGCCAACCGGCAGCACCGGCCGCCGCAGCCCGCATCGGCGGCGAGCTGCCGCCCCCGCTGCGCCGCGCCGGCGGGGAGCGGAGCCGCCGCACCGGGGAAGCGGCGGGGGTGGGGGGGTTCACCGAGAACGGTGCACCGGGGGTTGTGGTGGGGGGAGATATCGGTGCACCGGCGAAGGAAGGGGGTCGCGGCCGCGCTTACCTGCGCTCCGTTAGCAGCGCGTGTAGCCCCGGCGCGGCGCGGCGAGCAGCGGGCTGGCCAT